AAGCAAATTACAGAATTACACTACGGCCGCTGTTTTTCATTTCTCCTGATCACATTAGCAATATAGGGTAAAATTTATTTCGTTTTCGCAGCTGACGTCAAAATTCCACAAGCGGAAAAGGCGGTAATTGTAATTGTAGGTTACCCGGGTTGCCAGTAAAACGCAGTAAACACATAGTCGAAGAGGTATTTTTGACAGTTAAACACGTTTAATTTTGAAAATATGAACTTTTAAAATTACAAGTTGATCGTGAAAAAAATACTTTTATGCCAACAATTTAACTTTTATGTTGAATGTTTAAGTAGTTAGTTCATAGAATTGAAGGGAACTTTTAAATTGAAAATGGACTATTTTTATAGATACAATTTTTGTTCTTTGTGTGTAGAAGGTCCCGAAATAACGTGCTCAACTTTTTGGCTCAGCTCTGGTACTCTCTTCGGTCCCAAGCTAATCGATTCACCCCTCGAAACATAGGAAAAACAAATAACCCCTCATTTTATCTGTTAAACTTTCATAGCGAATCAAAACAAACATTGCGTAGTACTAGAATTTCGACTAGAATAGGGTACGTTAATTGTTTGCTTGGGACCAATAGGCTACTAAAGTGGTGAGCCAATTTAAAATCGTTAGTTTCGTATTGATTGTTGGTTATAACATGTTATAGCGCTATCTTGATGGTGGTTTCTGTGTTGCAATTATTTGACAACCGTTATAAAGGGTGTCCACGATGAAATTGCCACACTATGAAATTGCTCTAACTTTTTAACCGTTGGGTAGAATTTAATGAAAATTTGGGTGGATTTAGTTCATAGTGCATTATTTACATCCTGCAAGTTTTAAAGTCCTGTGATCAAAACTCGCGGAAATGGAGTCGAAAGAACAGCTCGTGCGTGATAAAATCTTGCGCATTCATCACGAGATCAAGGATCTCTCGCATCGTTCCATCGCTAAAACGTTGGGAATCGCGAATTCCACGGTGTCGCGAGTGATTAAGTGGTTCGAGGAACGCTTGACCACCGATCGGAAGCCCAGAAGTGAAGGAAAAAGTATTCCGTACAACACCAAAAATCACAACCGCGTAGTTGGGGCCTTCAACCGAAATCCGAACGCCTCCTTTAGGGATGTGGTTAAGAAGCTGCACCTAAGCCGAAGTTTTGTCCAGAAGGCCAAAACTAAGGCTGGGCTTCGAACGTTCAAGGTACAAAAGGCCCCTAATCGCGACGAGAAGCAGAACAAGTCCGCCAAAACCCGTGCCAGGAAGTTGTACCTCAACATGCTGACGAAAGTTGAATGCTGCATCATGGACGACGAAACATATGTGAAGGCCGACTTCAAACAGATCCCCGGCAACCTGTTTTTCACGGCCAAGGATAAGTTCAGCGTTCCGGAGCATGTCCGCACTCAGAAGATGTCCAAATTTGCGAAGAAATTCCTGGTTTGGCAAGCCATCTGCACGTGCGGGAAGCGGAGTGCACCTTTCGTGACCCAGGACACGATAAACGGACATGTGTACATAAAAGAGTGCCTCCAGAAGCGGCTGCTTCCTCTCCTGAAGGCCCACAACGTCCCAACAATCTCCTGGCCAGATTTGGCCTCATGCCACTACTCCAAGGACGTGCTGAAGTGGTATGCGGACAATAAGGTCAATTTCGTGCCGAAAATGTTCAACCCTCCCAACACTCCGGAGCTCCGCCCCATCGAGAAGTACTGGGCGATTATGAAGCAGCACCTTCTTAAACGACCTAAGGTAGTGAAGACAGTCGAGGAACTGAAGAAAGTATGGGTTTACATGCAAAAAAAGGTTGATTCACAGGTTGTGCAGAATCTTATGGCCGGGGTTAAGGCCAAGGTGCGGGCATTTGCGTATGGACTGTAAATAAAATACGAGTAAAATGGTAAAATGAAGTTTAATAGTTATTTCTCAATCCCTGAAAATTTGATGGCAATCGGATGAAAACTCGAATTTTGCGAATCAATTTTGTGTGTGGCAATTTCATCGTGGACACCCTTTAACATGTTATAACCAACAATCAATACGAAACTAACGATTTTAAATTGGCTCACCACTTTAGTAGCCTATTGGTCCCAAGCAAACGATTAACGTACCCTATTCTAGTTGAAATTCTATTACTACACTATGTTTGTTTTGATTCGCTATGCAAGTTTGACAGATAACATCAGGGGTGTGTGGATTCATGCAGAACATGCAGGGGTGAGTGAAATAGCTTGGGACTGCTTGGGACCGTTGTTCTGGTACTGTGTGAGCCAAAAATAATAATGATTTTCTTCGGGACCCAGTGGTCTTAGAGTTACCTCTATGTTATAACTCTCCAGTCTGGACAGCGTTTTACATTGGACTTTTTGTTCTACATGATACTAGATTCCCTTCAAGATTCGCTTTCACAGATTTCAGAATAGAGTACCTAACCTAACCATGGCCCGCCTTTAGAAAATGATCACCAATAATGTTAGGCAGTTCAACTGTCCAACTGTCAGAAGTAACAATCACGTACCCATCATTTCATACTGTACATTGGACAATTTTTTACATGATAGCCCATACAATGATAGAAGAGCAATAGTTTGTATCGATTAACTCAATTTGTTTACATTTGTTACTTAGGAACTTTTGAAAAGTTACGCGAGAAATCATCTATAGAGAATAGAAATACTCAGAGGGAGAGATGGGCGGAGAGAAAGTTTTGAGCCAAATGAACCATCAAAATCATTCCCATTAGAATTTTTCCGGGGATTTATTATTCTTATTACATTAAATTTGAGAGTATTGCAATCGAACAGAAATTTAATCACATTATATGTGATTAAACATTAACATTTCAAAAGGTCTGCATTGATCTATTCTCTTCATTGGCTTTCGTTTGACGTTTTGGACGATAGATAAGAACCTCCTTTATCAAACTATGTGGTAGAATTAGTGCGAAATCTGTTTGCATAGCAGTGGTTATGAAAAGAGAAAGTCGATGAAGAGAATCGATCAAAGCAGATAGGACCATTTGAAATGTTCATCGAGATTTATGTTTCGTGTGCTTCTCAAATTCAACTAGTTTTTTGAATCAAAAACAATATTCTAACTCTATTGATTAATTGATCTTAGTTGGTTAATTAGTGGCACCAAGAAATATGCAGAATATTGCGATGCACTCAACTATTATTTTGCACGTAAATCGAATCAAAAGTAAAAGTCGTGTGAAATGCTAGCTCTAGCAAGGGTTGCAAGATAATTTAGATACAAATCCCTGCTGCCGAATTGTATTTTGTTTTCTCCGGTCATCTTTCCCTCTGAGTATTTCTAATAGAGAATGCATTGTTTACAAAATGCAGTTAGGCCTTTTTTGCAGCTCTGTATTTTAATGTTTACTACAGCGATCCTATACGCTATTGTGAGCCTACTCAGTGACTGGGTGGATCCCACTCATTTTTGCATGCTGTATGGAGTTGTCAAAAAATTAGTTATCTAGTTTTACTAATATAATTTTTTCCTAAGTTTAAAATGGCGCACTTTGAAGTTGTGAACAGGCGATATATACGCAGTGAGTCTAAATCCAGTTTTTAGAAGTGAAGCAGTGAAGAGCAGCCACACTAATGAAAAACTACCCAAAATTAAGTACTTTTCCCTCAATTGGGTTGTTTAGGGGTATTGAGGTAAATACATATTCGTCATCTGCATTAAAAATGGAACCGAAATCCAAAATTTCATCAATTTTGGTACACTGGAACTATTTTAGATAAGTACGATTACATTAGCAAAAATCACCATCTAAGCGCCCCTCGGCGGGACTTTGAATGGGAGCGAGCTGTCAACGAATAGATTTAGTGTCATCGATCAAAAATTAAAATCTTGATTTAAAAATCAAGATGAATATCTACGGGATCGACAAAAATATCGTTGTGCTCAGAAAACGAAGCTCTATCAGATGATGTATAAAAATCGGTATATTTTTCGAAGTTAAACAACCCAATTGGGGTCTTTAATTTTGAAAAATATGTCAGTTTTCGTATATCATCTTAAAGAGCGTCGTTTTCTGAGCACAACGATATTTTTTTCGATCCCATTTACTTCCATCTCAATTTTTAAATCAAGATTAAAAGCAAAATAATCACTTCACTGTTTGACACTAAACTAACAAACTGACAGCTCGTTCCCATACGAAGTACCATCGAGGGGCGCTAAGATGTAGATTTTTGCTTATGTAGTCACACTTATTTAAAATAGTTCCAGTGCTCCAAAACTGATGAAATTTTGGATTTCGATTCCATTTGTACTGCAAATTACGAATATGCAATTACCTCAATACCCCTAAAGAACCCAATTGACCACTTTGTCAAGCAGTTTTGGCGTGACTTTCTACCAGCGATTTCACAAAACTGGACCAAATAATTTATATTTTTTTATGAAACGCACAAATGTTGGCTACTTTTCTCGAGGTTCTAGAAGAAAAAATCTCAAAATAATGTTTTATTTCAAAGTTCGAGTGGTAGTAAACGTCGTTTTAAGAGCTCGAATAAAATGGTTAATTAATCATATTGTCGAGCAGTTTTGAGACGACCTTCTACCAGCGATTTTACGGAAATGAATCAATAAATTCCAGATTTTTCAAGCATATTACAAATAAGACCCTATTTTCTCGAGGTTGTAGAAGAAAATTTATCAAAATATTGTTCCACGTTAAAGTTCGAGTGGTAGGAAACGTCATTTTAAACTGCTCGAATGATATGATCCATTCCCGGGTTCATCTCAATAACCCAAATTTGAGTAAATCGCACATAGTTATTTCCATTAATACCAGCAAAAAAATACTCTTTACTCTGGATGGCGAAAGCTATCAGCAGCTAGAAACCCCTCGCATTGCCTATTCCACTGTGTCTTATCCCTGCAAAACACTTTGATACTGATGTCGATAAAGAAGAGCACATTACTCGAACTGTCATTTAACGCATCGCACTCTCTTTTTATTGTTGTTGTTGTTGATTGTGGACGAAGTGCTGACTGCAGATCGTTTTTCGCAATTTCTCCGTAACTTTCCTCAGAGTTCCTGTAATTCAAGCGCGGATACAAGAATGACTGGCCAACCAGAGGAACAGCCCACACCGGAAATCGCCCAACTCATCCACGACGTCCGGTTAAAGTGAGTTTCGAACTTCACCGGGATTGAAATTTTGCCACGAAGGCTGATGACCTTTCGTACCTGCTGACATTGTTTACCTCTTACAACTCCCACAGCAAAGTCGTCGGTTCCCACAAGCTCACGTCCAAAACGCTGTCCCTGCTGACGAACCTCATTTCAAAATCGGAATGGACCAATGCCGAGTAAGTTGTACGAGCTTGCTCGTTCGTATCTCGAATCGTATTAATTCTGAAACCAAACCCCCGTTACAGGCACCTCATGACGTTAGTCCGTAGACAGGGACACTTTCTAGTCGCAGCCCTGCCGCAGGATATCGTGATTGCCAACACGGTGCGTCGGATTTTGAAAATCGTCCGGGAAGAGTACGATTCCGCCCAGCTGCGGGTTCACTTTGACGATGCCCAAACATCGCTTTCGCTGCACAAACTGGTCACCCAAACGAGCGAGCAGAGGCGAGGCGATTACTCGCAACACCAGGAGGGTCTACGAGCAGCTCTTCTGGAACATTTGAGCGAAATTGACACGGAACTGGAAACCTGTTCGGACAATCTGTCGTCGCAGGCGACGGAACACATTCACTCTTCGGAGTTGATTATGACCATCGGACACTCGAAGTCGGTGGAGAAATTTCTGAAGAAGGCAGCGGAAAATCGTACCATCGAGGTGATTGTGGCTGAATGTGCCCCAGCATGCCAAGGGCATCAGCTGGCCGTGAATCTGGGCAAGGCCAAGATTCAGACGACGGTCATCCCGGATTCGGCTATCTTTGCGATGATGTCCAGGGTGAACAAGGTCATTATCGGAACGCACAGCGTGCTAGCTAACGGAGGACTGAGGGCGATCTGTGGGGCTTACTCGTTGACATTGGCCGCGAAGCATTTCTCGGTCCCGGTGATTGTACTGGCGCCGACTTATAAGCTGACACCGGTTCACCTGTCCAACTACGATCAGGACGATTTTAATATACTGGGCAATGCTGAAGCGGTCATTCCGTACGATTCACCGGCGGCGCGATTTGCCAAGGCTTACAACCCGGTTTTCGATTACGTGCCACCGGAGCTGGTGACACTGTTTGTGACGAACACGTGAGTTTCCGTTTAGGTAATTGAATGTTGATATCTAAATGACCGGGTTCGATTTTTACAGCGGAGGCAATGCCCCATCCTACGTCTACCGATTGCTGAGTGAACTTTATCACCCAGACGACAACGAGCTGTAGGACAATGGCACAGCGGAAGGAAAGGTAAATTGCGATAACAAAAGATAACAACTAAATCAGCAGCAACAGTTTATTTAAAGCAGATTATCTAGGCGCTTGTTAATAAATTATATCATTCATCGTACCAGTGTGGAAAACCTTCCGTCGCTAAAACGAATCCAAACCTCCTTACTGAACTGATTTCTTATTCCACAGTTTGGAAGCCTTGTAGCTTGTGACGTTGTAGAATCTGGTCAGCCCCTTGAAGGGACCGTTCAAGCTTTCCGTGGAAGACTTCTTGGACGACGGCGGGGCAGCAGCATAGATGGGTTTCATTTTGATGCTGTCCTGTCGTTCCACCAACCGGCAACGAACCAAATGCTGCTCTTGTTGTGACTGCTGGTCCTTCTCTGCATCCTTTGGTACTTGCGTCTGTACCCTCGGAGGCTTTGGCATCGAATTGATCCGATTCAACGCCGGCGGTACAGCAGTAGTTTTGCCCTTCAGCTGCTGGTCTTCCTCCGGGAGGTCTTCCTCGACTTGATCCCGAAGGGTGGACGAAGAGGAGGACGAACTGGACGACGACGAATGGATGGTAACCCGGTCGACTGTTTCGGCAGACTGAAGCTTGGTGGGGTCAGCAGACGACTTGCTTCCTCCGCCTCCGCGGACGATGATGTCCGCTTCCGGAACGGCTTTCAGGTTGACGTTTTCTATTTTGGTCGCGGTGTAATCGATCGGCATCAGCACTAGATTGGATGGCGTTTGGCTGACTAGCGTCTGCGATTGGCTGCTGATCAGCACTAGGCTGCGACTGCGACACGGTGTGACCTCGACAATTCGGATCCGGTAGTAGAGGATCTAGAAGAAGGGAAGCAGTTGTTAGAAGATCATTGGAGGGTAATGTATGTAGGGTAAGGTGGGGCAAGATGGGTCAGTTGGTACGATTATTGATTTGCTTATTGTTTGTTTGGTGATGTGCCACGTTTCCAAGGTCAAACGGCAGAGGTGGGATCCGAAGTCAGAGTCTGACATTCCGAGCACGAAAAGAGTACAAGTTTGCCGTGACGTCGTCTTTATGAGAGAGGCGATGACTGAGCAGAGTCGTGAGGATGCAACGATTCAGTTGTTTGTCGATGATCGGGATGACCACGAAAGCAATAGTGGTCAAGCAGCTGTAGAGGAACAACAGTCGACGCAAGCTGATGGCTTCTGATAGCAGTTTTGGCGATACCGACTAGACCGGATGCTATTGCGCTCCCCTCACAATTTGAAGACCCACAAAGTGGGGTAAGGCGTAGTGAAATAGAGCGCCGGCTCCACGGAAGTATTTAAATTTTGATATGACATATAGTATCCTTCCCAAAAAGTGCTACGTGTCCACAGGAAACTTCTGAGCATAAGGAAGCGTGCGAGCCGCAGACGTTCCAGACCGCGATGGAAAGAGAGAATCGTTAGCGGTAGCAAGATGCAATGAAGAAAGATTTGCACGCATTAAAGGTGAACCAGACGTGGAAGCTTACAGACTTACCATCAGACCCGTAAAGCGTTGAAGTGCAAATTGGTGGAGCGGTACAAGGCCAAACGGACGCTGGTGGTGCCACAGATGGATGCTGTGACAGCATTTGTGCAGGGCGACTTGGCTGATGAGGAGATATGGTGCAATCGGAAGGGTTCGTGGTCACGAAAGCTTGAAGCAGGCTAGTCGAGTGTGGAACATGAAGCTTGATTCGGAGCTCAAGCAAATTGGTCTCAAGCGTTCCAGTTTCGATCCGTGTGTGTACTAAAAGGTCTGCAGCGTGTCATCATTATCGCTGTTTATGAGAATGATTTCCGGCTCTTTTCCAATCTGCCGCAGTGAGTAGAAAGCGTCAAAGAGCAGCTAATGAAGAAATTCCACATCAAAGATCTCGTTCTAGGGATGAGAATCACCGGTGGTAGTGGCCACTGGAACCTGGATCAACAGCGTTATAAATTTTTTTTTTTTTTTAATCTTTATTTTAGAGATTTTTAGCCTGAGGCTAGTTCATCTCTTATTGACAGCGTTATAATGAGGAGTTGCTTCAACGATTACACATGGTAGATTTCAATCCTGTAGCAACCCCAGCTGATGTGAACCAACGTCTGACTAAAGACATGAACCCGAAGAATGGACAGGAGAAGCAAAAGATGCTGAACATTCCATTCCGTGAACTCGTTAGAGGATTCCAGTTTCTGGCGCAGTGCACTCATCCTGTGGTGTCAATGTCGTAAGCAACTACAGTAGCAACCCCGGAGAAGCATAGTGGATAGCGGTGTTACCTGAAAGGAACAAAATCGGTTGAAGGTGATGCGGTGTTCGAAGGATTCACCGATGCGGACTGGGGAAACGACTCCGAATGCTATATATATTATTTTTCAATATGCCGGTGGATCGATATCGTGGAGCTGTAGAAGGCAACCTACTGTTGTACTTTCTGTTTCTACGATAGAAGCGGCCCTTTCGGCTACAACACAGGAAGCGTTGTGTGGCGAGGATTCTGTGGATAGCTATTTGATGTTGAGCAACCGATCCCGATAATCGCAGCGCAATTTGTTTGGCGGAAAAAGAAATCGATTTTTCACCCAGAAGCAAGCACATCGATTTGAGATCGCAGTAGGCCGCGCTTGAAAGCTGACGTGTTTTTCTTTTGCTGCGTATTTTTCGTAAGCGAATTAAACACTTTTTGGCTTTAAATTTGTTAATTTGTGTGCTGAAATTTAGTTTCAAGTGTTCATAAAGTTATCATTTAGTGATATATCGTGTTTTGCCTGTGTTGCCTTGAGTATCTCGGTTTATCTTGAATCTAACCTCCAAAATATACAACGCAGTTTCAGTTCCATTGTTCGGTGTCGATTTTCATTGCCTCCCGGGAGCCCGGTTCTCCGAGTTCGGATGCTACACTTTCGGCGTGTAGTTCTGTTGAGAGATCGGGCCGGTTTGTGTATTAGCCCGGGAACGGGTTGGTAATGTGTCCGTCGTGAGTTTTGGTGGTGATTCGGTGGCCAACTCTGCCGTGAATCAGCAAGTTTTCCGCTTGAAAAAGCGCTCGGCTGCTGGTCTCTCGCCGGTGTCGGAGATTGCGAGTAATATGAAAGATGCCTCGCTGGATACGCCCAAGACTGGACGGGTGGCAGTTGGTGGTCTCGAACTGTTCCTGGGGAAAGCACTAGACGCGAACCTCCTCCCAGATAACAATGGCAATGCAAGAAAATGTGTGTTCGTTAAAGAAGTATTGCGACAAAGGTGCATCACGAAGTGAGATACAAAGCTTAGAGAAAATCAAAATTACGGAACCCATGAATTGGAGGATCAAATTAACATGGTGAGACCAGTCCAAATACATTTAACAATTAAAAAAAAAAAACATAAACTGAATACGTGCCAGGTTTGAAAAGAATATTGTTGAATCTGGAAGCGTGTATGTAATACCAATATCCATTTGATAATGGTGATGTATACATGTGGGGCTTATTGTAAGTCTTGTTCATTTCTTTATTTAACGTCAGTCTCTGTTCCGCAATCTAGTGCCAATCATCGACGGACATCGATTGCCATCCATTGACGGCAATCGAATGTGCAGGAAGGCAGCTTCCACACCTACGTAGGATATCGCACCCATTCTATCAACACACAAGGGCCGGGACCAACGGCTTTACTTCCCTTCCGAAGGAAGACGTGACCAGAGATTTTTATGCCTCAGAAAAATCCCACCGACCTCGGCTGGGATTGAACCCAAACCCATTGGGGTGTTAGAAAGCAGTCACGCTTACCACTACATCACCGGTGCCGGCTTATTGTAAGTGAAAGTAACCTCGGAATGGATCTGCAATAGAGCTATCACTTTCTAACTCCCAGCCTAAAGCTGTCTACAATGACCACTAATGCGACATGGTTGAGAGAGTTTTTAGGTTAGAGGGAAAACACACACACGCACACACACACACACACACACACATACACACACACACACACACTGGGCTACAAATGGTGAGTTAACAACCTAGCTCTGGTCCTCACAAGTTCCTACCTCACACCTCCCCGTGGTGTAGCCTGGGCAATGTTCCGACAATAGCAAAATGAGGGGGTGCGACGCGAACGCTGGCGCGGTAACCATAGCACGGCGATAGAGGAAATGCTTCGTCAACCCGCAGGAGTGCCAACCGGCACATTAGGATCGACGCCAGTAAAATCCTTATTACGGCATACTGGACACGGCATGGAACTATGGACACGACACGGCACAATGGATTGGATACCACGCTACAGGGCTGACAGTCGTGCTATTATGCTCCCTGAGTATAGAAGGGTGACACCTTCTTGAAATGGCGAGTAGGCTAATAGTGCGGCTGCCCCCGTCCCAGTAAAACCTTGGCAGGCCTCCGGATACGTTAGTAGGCTCAAATGTAACATTCCTGACTTACTCTGAACACGGCTCCCATGAAGGACCGTGTCAACCCTAGCATGGCCTCCCTGCTGGCATAGATAACCATGGGATCACGATAGGTGACTACATACAACGAGTGGAGATAGCGGCCTGGAGGGGGACCCAACAGAATGGAGAAAGTCGGAGAAAAAAAACAAAAAAGAAGAAAATGAGAAAACCCAAAAAAAATAAAGGACGGCGGCAAGACGCCAGAAATTGAACACGGAGGAGCGAACGTGTTCGCAAGGAGCGGGATATTGCAGAGATCACCAGTTCCGAACCTGGGGGCCACTGCGAGTTCCAGCAGCAGCAGTAAGTAAGTCTCAAGAAGAGCAGCCAGGCGTTGGGCTAAGCCAGATATTCACACCAATATCCAGCAGTAGCAAATCTCAAGAACTGCAGCTCGGGAGAACCAAAATGATGGATGTCAGGAGGAAGATCGATGAACTCTATGTGTTCGTAAAGGATAAAAACAACGTACACAACGAGATCAAGCAACTTGTGACTGGAATCAAATCCGGCATAACAGTGGCAGATCGGGAATTCCAAGAGTGGAGAAAAAGAGCTGACAGGAAGAATAAGGAGAAGCCTAGGCCTCGGAGGGAGAGAAGCAAGGGTGACGCTCTGGTTGTTGAGGCGAAGGACAAAACGTCCTCCGCAGCACTCCTCCGAAAAGTGAGAGAGAATCCGGAGTTGAAACAACTAGGCGAGAACGTGGTGAAAACCAGGCGAACCCAGAAAAGCGAGATGCTATTTGAGCTGAAAAGGGATCCTACGGTTAAGAGCGCAGCTTTTAAGGAGCTCGTCGAAAAATCTCTTGGTGGGACGGCGAACGTAAGAGCCTTATCCCAGGAGTCAGTGGTTGAGTGCAGGGATCTGGACGAGATCACAACGGAAGACGAGTTGAAAAGTACACTGAAGGTGCAATGCAACCTGGGAGACGTACCGATGGCAATTCGGTTGAGAAAGGCTTATGGTGGCACGCAGACGGCGTCGATACAACTTTCTTCGGACGCAGCTAACGAGCTGCTGAAGACAGGCCGAATCAAGCCGTTGAAAGCTATTCCTCGGGTTTCTAAGAAAATGGAGAGGTGCTACAAATGCATGGGCTTCCGTCACCAGACGAGAAACTGCAAAGGCCCTGACAGATCTGATCTGTGCAGGAAATGCGGAGAGAAGGGGCACGTTGCAAAATACTGTACAAAGCAACCGAGGTGCATGCTCTCCAAAAAGGAGGACGGAAACGGCCATGTTACGGGAAGTTTCAGGTGCCCAGAGTTCAAGAAGGCGATGGTGGTGGGCCAGCAATAATGGAAGTAACCCAAATAAATCTCAATCATTGCAACACAGCACAGCAACTGTTGTGCCAGTCGACAACGGAAACAAAGTGCGACGTTGCTATCATTGCAGAGCCATATCTAGTCCCTCTCGATAATGGTAACTGGGTGGCGGATAGAGCAGGAATGGCGGCCATACAAGTCATGTGCAGGTATCCCATTCAACAAGTGGTGGCGGGCTCATACGAAGGTTTCATGATCGCCAAAATCAATGGAATCTATGTATGTAGTTGCTACGCACCCCCGAGCTGGACAATTGAGCAGTTCCACCAGATGCTAGATGGGCTCACCGGAGATGGTAGGGAATGCATTATCGACGTCACTTTCTGCAGTACGTCGCTAATGGAAAATATGAACTGGAGAGTGTGCGAAGAGTACGCCCATAGTGACCGGTACAGTATCGGCGAACGGACACCGGTAGAAATGTGGAGGGCGAGTGGAAGTGGAAAACGAAGGCATTCAATAAGCATCTCTTGATCGAAGCTCTAAGGGTAGACAGCAGCGTCCCGGGCCTAAGCGCGAACGAGTTGACCGAATCATGAGCAAGGGCATGTGACACAACTATGCCGAGAAAACTGGAGCCAACGAACAGGCGGCGTCCAGCTTACTGGTGGAATGAGGAAATTAGTACTCTCCGTACTACTTGTCTTCTAGTCAGAAGGCGCGCTCAGAGAGCAAGAACGGAAGCAGACAGAGAAGAGCGCAGGGTGGTGTTCCGAGAGGCCAGGGCTGCACTGAAACGAAAGATAAAGCTTCTTCTTCTTCTTCTTCTTATTCGCATTTCAAGCTTATTGCTTAGCGCAAATTAGCTTATTGCGTGCTCTCAACTTAGTGTTCTAAATGCACTTCCACAGTTATTAATTGAGAGCTTTCGATGCCAATACCAATGCATGAATTTGTATATTGTGTGGCAATTACAATGATACTCTATGCCCAGGGAAGTCGAGAAAATTTCCAACCCGAAAGATTCCCTCGACCGCACCGGGAATCGAACCCGCCGCCTCTGGCTTGGTAATACCATGCCTTTCCTGACTAGGCTATGAGGCCCCTGAAAGATAAAACTGAGCAAGTCAAATAGTTTCAAGGAGCTGTGCCGCGATGCCGATGCCAACCCCTGGGGCAACGCATGGGGTTGGCCATCGCGCCGATCAGAGGTCCAACGATGCCGGTTGAAATGTGTCCCAACAAGCTGAAAGTCATCGTGGAGGGACTTTTCCCACAGCATGACCCAACGACCTGGCCACCTACACCATATGGCGAGGAAGATGAAGACAACGTTGAACAAGTCTCCAACGAGGAACTCATAGCAGCAGCGAAATGGTTGAAGGCGGAGAAAGCTCCCGGCCCGGATGGAATTCCCAACGTGGCGTTGAAGGCGGCGATCCAGACGTTCCCGGACATGTTCAGGATGGTGCTGCAGAAATGTCTGGACGAGGGGTCAGTTCCCTGATAGGTGGAAGGTACAAAAGCCTGTGCTGTTGCCGAAGCCCGGAAAACCGCCGGGGGATCCTGCATCGTATAGGCCGTATTTCGGGGCTCTTGGAGAGGATCATCCTGAACAGGCTGACGAAATGCACGGAAAGTGAACACAGACTGTCGGAGAGGTAGTTCGGATTCCGTAAAGGGAGGTCGACGGTGGATGCAATTCGGACAGTGATTGACAGAGCCGAGAAAGCTTCCAAACAGAAGCGTAGAGGAAATCGATACTGCGCCGTGATTACGATTGATGTGAAGAATGCATTCAATAGCGCCAGCTGGGAGGCCATCGCCAAGGCGCTCCATAGAATGAGGGTTCCAGACTACCTCTGCAGGATTCTAAGTAGTTACTTCCAGAACCGGGTCCTGGTCTACGCGACAGACACGCGGCAGAAATCGCTTAGAATCACGGCGGGAGTTCCACAAGGCTCCATTCTAGGTCACACGCTGTGGAACGGAATGTACAATGGCGTCCTGACGCTCAAGCTGCCCAAAGGAGTTGAGATCGTTGGCTTTGCGGACGATGTCGTCTTGACGGTAACCGGTGAGACGCTGGAATAAGTGGAAATGCTGGGGGCCGAGGCGATAGATATGATTTGTAACTGGATGCAAGGAGCGAAGCTGCAGATAGCCCACCACAAAACAGAAGTGATGTTGGTCAGTAACTGCAAAGCAGTGCAGCGGGCAGAAATCACCGTTGGAGAGCACACCATTGTTTCGAAGCGCGTGTTGAAGTATCTGGGAGTGATGACCGGCTAAACTTTAACAGCCACATCGAATATGCTTGCGAGAAGGCGGTGAAGGCCATCAAGGCAATAGCCAAAATCATGCCGAACAATTCTGGTCCAAGCAGCAGCAAGAGGCGTCTTCTGGCTAGTGTGTCCTCATCGATACTAAGGTACGGAGGTCCAGCCTGGATTGAAGCGCTAAAAACGAAGCAGAATTAAAGGAAATTGAGCAGTACGTACCGGCTCATGGCCATGCGAATCGTGAGTGCGTACAGAACCATTTCGATGGAGGCAGTATGCGTTATCGCCGGTATGATCCAAATCGGCATCACCGTGGCAGAGGACTACGAGTGCTATATGACGAGAGAAACCAGAGGAGTACGAAAAATGGTGAGAACGGTGTCGATGGCTAAGTGGCAGCAGGAGTGGGATGCAGCAGAGAATGGTAGATGGACACACAGGCTAATACCGATTCTTTCAACCTGGGTGAACAGGAAGCATGGAGAAGTCAACTTCCACTTGACGCAGTTCCTGTCTGTTCATGGCTGCTCCAGGAAGTACCTGCATCGGTTCGGACACACAACGTCACCCTTCTGTCCGGAGTGTGGAATGTGGAAGAATCACCAGAGCACGTGGTGTTCGAATGTCCTAGATTTGATGCTGTGCGAGAGGATATGCTCGGAACGTCGTCGAAGAAATGTGTCGAGAGGACGGCACCTTTAACGCCGTCAGCAGAGTAGTAACGCAGATCATGTCAGCACTGCAGCGAAAATGGCGAGAAGACCAGCTAGAAGGTAGTAATGTGCTCACACAAGTGCGAAGTGAAAGCAGAATCCGGGAGAACTCTCCGTCAGAGTAGGCTGAATCCACCACCGGGGTTAACCGAGTAGAACGCGACGCTGGGAGCTAAATGACTCACAAATTGGAGAGACGATCAGCGAAATGGAAGCGCCAGTTAGCTGAGGTAAAGTGAGATGCGTAATGCACGGCCTCCTCCGAAGTAATACGATACGATACGATAATGGTTCCGGGGGAAAAGTGCAAGGCGTCCAAGGAGGTTTTAGTGCGGTAAGAATCCCACACACCGTGTCACCGCGACAGTTGTTAAGCGGTGGCACGATGGCCTTTTGAAGGTTTCCACCTTTCCAAAAAAACATACACACACAGAAGCAAGCACATCGATTTAAGACACCACTTCGTAAGGCAACAACTTCAGTTGAAGACTATTGAACTAAGCCACGTTTTCTCAGATCACTAGAAGGCGGATGTTCCAGCTTCAAAATTTTGTGAAGTAAGGAACCTCTTTTGTTTAAAACAAATTCTCGCTTAAGGAGAGGATGTTGGATCAGCAATCTATGGAATTTCATTCTGTTCCTGCACTAGCTACTGAGTAGACGTGTTTTTATTAGTTTTCCATTAGAATCATGACATATTTCATACTTGCTCAGCACTGAAAATTCAAAGTTATTTGGTATAATAGTGAGAAAGTTACAGCTGTTTATGTGTGTGTGCCATTTTTATCAAATACATCCTTTAGTAGGAAAAAGATGAGAATTCTCTTGAAGAAATAAGCTAGATTCTAAGAGAAACTTTCGAGATATCCAATCTATAATAGAATTTTACATAGGGGAAATGTCGGCTTCGGCAATACCTTAACCTATTATCGTCAGGGGGTATACAAAGTCCTAGAGCACTCAAATTTGGCCAATAGATGCACTGAAACACAATGTATCCACATGCCAAAATTGAGCTCTCAAGGACGTTGTTTACCCCCGGACGATAATAGGTTAAGGTATTGCCGAAGCCGACTTTTCCCCTAATTCAATTAATATAAGCTAATACATATTTTACGGTTCCAATAAAATTCCCGGTTTTCCCGGTTTAGTGGCCACCCTGATAATTTCATAATTTCGAAATAAACATTTTTTTATAGTAAACGAATTGCCGCAACCCTGTTCGACGTAATGGCATGCCTCTCAGAATTCCGAATTTTATATTGTGTGGCATTAAGTCATCAAAAAATGTGTGTGCCAGCACCATATTTGACGCGTTCCTAATGATGACGCACTCGTCTATTTTTGATCGCATCTCGATTTTTACAAGATATTTTTTTAAACCTTGTTACTCCATCATCCCTTGAGCACTGAAACTAATACATGCAGAAGTAACATTTCAAAAATAATTATTGAAAATACTCAAACATTATTGAGTGCGTCGATTTAGGAACCGCTTCGAATATGGTGCCTCCACGGTACATAGCTTAAGGTGATTCCAGAACTCTGCATGAGTCTTCCAGGGCCAATCGATTGATAGGGCATTAAACGGCCTATTCTGCGCTGCGTGTGAGTTGAAGTGACTCTTCATTTGATTTGCACGGAGACTCACCTCACCCGAGGGGACAATTATCACTTCACTGTCACCTCACCTCACACGCCGCGCAGAATAGGCCTAAACATTCAAGACTCATCTTTAATACGATGGAATTTGTAAATGGGAAAAGTTTTGCTAGATCAGAAAGTATCTGAGACGTTGAATGAGAGGGAGACAACGGCGATTGAAAACAATGCCGCCGAAGTCAAGATAAAAAGTAAAATCATGCGACCCCAAGCCGCCAATCGATTCCGTAAGCTTCAAAAGTGGATTCCTTTTATCGTTATCTCCTCATAGGATTACACTCTGTCATGCGACATTTGTTGTAGGTGGCACGGTACGTATTTGATAACAACTCAACCTGTGCTTATCCGACGCCACCACAAAGAAATCTCTCTTATCATATCATCAGCACTCACCTTGTCCTTCGTCATGAACCGTATCGTCTCCTCGATCGGAATTTTCGCGCAGTTCCCATCCTTCAAAAAGTCAGCATCGTTCTCCGAATGGCATGGGAACCGTTGAACCAACAACTTTGCACTGTCGATCGGCGAGTACAGTTCCAGCTCGAAGGCGAACCGGTGGGCCGTCTTTGCCTCCTTCGACGCGCAAATCACCGTCCAAATCGATCGTCGACTGTTCTGATCGTAGATCTGGTAGAGGTTGAAGTACTCCCCGTAGGCCCGGATCACGTAGTACGCGATGACCGACTGCAGTGAAATGCACCGTTGGCTGTCGGTCGCGTAGTTCCACGTCAACACGATGTCCGGCGAGCTGTACACCTTGTCCTGGTGCTCGGTTACGCAATGACTGATCCAGTCCTTCTCGCAACCGTGCCACGAACAGTTTTCCCACACCTTTCCCATAAAGCATTCGACTTTCTGAAAACCGAATCCATTAGTTAGTTATCTACTTAGTAATATGAAATCCCAAAATGCTCTTACCTTATATCCGCAGCGATCCTTGTGCCACCAGAGCAGCTCCAGCGGTAACCGCACCGTACAGCCACGCCCGGCATGCGTACACGGAAATTGGACCTTGCCCGCAATCGCCTCCAGCGTATAGTTCCTCATGTCGGTCAGCTTCTTCCGGCATAGCGGACAAGCGCTGATCCGGCTGGAACAATGCGAACAGATACTGTGTCCCGTTTCGCAAAGCCAAATCGGTCCATACAACGCCTGGGCACATCCCGGACATTTCAACTCACTGACGATGCTGTCATAGTGGTGCAGCGTGATACTAAAGTGGGCATCACTGTAGACAACTGATCGCCGTTTATCGCCCGCCGTTGATGAATCGTCCTTGGTGTTGATTGCCGTCGTCGAGGTACGACTGGAACTGGATTGGGAGGATTTTTCGTACTTCTCCAGGGCCCGAACCGTTACCAGCGTCGGCTCGTGTGCGGCGGGGTTGGTCGATTCTTGCTCGGTGGACATTCCTTCTGTCTGTTATTGCTGCTGATTTGCACTGCACAAAGTTTATCGACGCTGCACGGTTCGGTTGGGAGTGATTGTTCGCTCGGACACACTGAGCAACTGACGCATGGGACTATCTTATCAGTTTATCAGACAGATTTTGCGGACTTTTAATTTCGGACGTTTTGCAGATAAGACAGCGTCGATGGGTAGGTAAGAGCGGTTTGATCGATGCAATGGAACTGCTGACAGTTGCTTCCGCAGTGCGACTAGCAGGATAAGCACCTCCTTGAGCAGGCGTTGGAATGTGGACGGGTGGATTTGTGGAGGGCACTTTAATCCATCCATATTGATGGCACGAGGCAATGATTTAAGCAAACGGCACCACCCTAGGGCACTACAATAGGTTAAGGATAATAGGATTTACGTTGGATAATAGGTTTCAAACCAGCCTCTTGCTTTTTACCTAGCACAGCGTATACATACATTATTGTTGTTGTCGATTTTCTTTTGTGTAATTCCCGTTTTTCTTTTTTAGAATGAGCTTTCATTAGCCTTGAAAATTAGGAAAACACACACCTTGCATACTGCACTCTGTCTTATGCACGTTGGTTTTCAGTAAATGCTTATGGTAAAGGGTAACAAGCTTGAATAAGGTTAGGGTGGGTCAAATGTGTATGGCGGATGACTCGTTCATTAAGGTCCTCAACAACTGTGCCACATTTGAATGCAGTTTTTGTTTGGCATGTGGATTTGATGCCGAACTGTTTGGGAAACTTAAAGAAACTAGCGTCTTAATTTTTTGTTGACAGTAAAATGTTTCAATTAGTGGTAGCAGGTAAATAGAAAATATATACACGCATTTTCACACTCGTGCTGAATCGGTCCAAAATCAATAGGAAGTGGCATAATTAAACCCAACTTTCAAGAGTTTTATTTTTAAAGTGTATACATTTTGAACATGCTGTAACGCGATCAGGGTTGCTCTAGGGCGATTGCTGAACCAAACAGACTAAACACCAAAAAACCGGCCGAGCAGACACTGATCACAGCCTTTCTGCTGTACAAACTTCGCTTAAGCGCCAACAAACTCCAAATAAGGGGTTTGATGCGAAGTTGCGCGTTCGAACCCGACTAGATCATTCAGGGCAGGTAAAAGGCAAAACGCGACCCAATCTCAAGTACTCTACTGACGGACGAACGGCACTGAATATCCGTCTCAAAATTATGCGAAAACTGTAGTAATCGGACTCAATAACTCAAGGATCTTCCACACAATCGAGCATCGCTCACAAAAACTAATGCTCACTCATTTTAAGCTTATATTCAATGCATGCTGGATAATCTCACATTTGGGATTGCGTATATAATTTCATCATCTGACCATAGACCTAGAGAGAAAAAATAGTGAAAGTCTCACCTGTATCATCTGCTGGACAACCAAGACGCCGTAGTGTGACGTGCAGTGTCTGTTTTTATCATTTACCATCACATGCAAGGAGTATCGCTTTAACCCAGTGTCGATGAATTGCGTTTGTTTTGAACATCTTCGTAGTTACGAAACGAGCGAAATGAACAAATGAGTTTATTATACATCAACGAATACGCGTTTGTTGATATTCACCAGTGCTCGATTATCAAACCCAAAATTGTCAAAATCAGAAGTGATCCTCAAAAGCAAAATAATCAACGACATTTTGGGCAAAATGATTATTTTGAATATTGTCGACCACACTGCCTAAATCATCGATATTATCATCAGTTCAGCCTGAGGCAATAATTTGCCGTCGACTTATGTCTAAAAACCACGTTCTTCAGCGCTATATTTGTTTAAAATGAAAATAATCATTTTGCATTTGATCCTCAATATCATCCCGACCAAGATGAAGACGAATATCAATATTTACAACAACAGAGGCGATAATGAGAATCCAGCCACGAATGAAGAAAAACAAATGTTATTTTTGATACTCAGAGGTTGCCTAGATCAAGGGAATTTGTTTATATCAAAATTCAAATTCATGCAGGTAGTTGGTCTATCTGTTAAGGTTTTCTTCATTTTCAGCTAAATTGAGTGTAGAAGAAAGGATTTTTATCAGCACTGGACGTGACACTGATGTTGTTGCTGATAGGCGTGGCGATGAAAGTCGCACGATGCACGACGAAGCCGCAAAGGATGGTTGAAACGCCGAGACAACGGTTATCCTTCTCTCGCCCATCTGTTGTCGGCCTACGATGGGCAGGTCCTAGCGGTGCGAGGCCACCGCCACGTTGATTGCAGCGGCAGGAGTACCGCAGTCGACGATGATATTAGCGACGGTATGCCGCAAGCGAACTGGTATATACGGCGATGGGCCGCAGGCGACTCTTGCTACTCGCGGCGATAGGCCGCAGACAACTTGACGGAAGACGGCTTCTGAAGATACTCAACTGTCCCACGACGGATGTACCAAGGATTGGCTTGTTTGATGCGGCTGGTCTGGCTTAGGCGTTTCGTTCGCCCACAGCGAATACCGATGGATAACGATGGTACTATTCACCAAACTCGAAGCCAAGCATGCAGGTTGTTGTACGCAGGGTGATACACCGAAAGGATGATGAAAGCGATGCCACGTGGCGGGGAACTATTCCTATCCAACCGTCCGTTGCTCGTCCACTGACTCGGGGTTTGTGACGTGTAACCCTTACGGATCGGCAAGACCGGTGAGTGAGCACGGTCTGAAAGGGCAACTGAGGCCGTTTCGCGCAACGGTTGCGTCTTATGGCTCAGGGCGATTGATGTTGGCCCCTACGGACTGAAGCATGCGGTAACAGATGAGGAGTGTCGGAATTCCTTTGGCTCAGGACCTTGGCTGGGGTCCCTACGGATCAGATCGGACCGGTGAGCACGGCCAAGCGTACGACGAACAAATTCGAAGTCTTCGAACACTCTCTGCGTCCTATGCCTCAGGGAGTTAGCGTGGTCCCCTACGGACTACTAATGGCAGTGCACTAAGCGAACACTATGTGTCCACGAGGTGGCTCTCTTTCCTATAGGAGGTTAGATCACTAGCACTAGCTTGGTCTTCCCGCGTGGCGCTTTCGGTGTGGAGAAAAGTCTCGAACCTGCGAATTTAGACCGAACAAAAAAAAAACCTGATGATCTTTCTGAAACCGATCTGGTTTTACAAAAGAGGAGCAGTTTTTTAACAATAGTATAAATAACTTTTTCTGACCCAGTACAATCGGGAGTACAATTCTTCTGTTTTACTTCACTATCTAATACACTGAACTGCTCCGACTGACGATCGATTGGCGAAAGAGCCCTGAGTTTTCTCAGCTTATTCTGAGCTGCCCACAATTAGAGGCGGTTATACTCGCGACACAATGTATTCACTGCTGCTCGTATTGTCACAGAGCAAACGAGATAGAGTTTGTTGCATGCTTCACGTCGCATCCGACATCGAGTAAATATCGCACGATCTTCGGTCGTGTCTCGGCTAACTTTTAGCTGTTCAGAATTATGGCTACAATGCGAATGTGGTTGTTGCGTCAATTTGCTTTTTGCTGGAGGAAGTGTTACTGATTCTAAAGCTACAAAAAATTTAAACAGGCCTTTTCAGTGCTAAATATTACCTACAAATTTTCTACCTTGTTCGATTCTTATTCCTCTTCGATGCTTGTTTGGACCTTGCCCGAGGTAATCCTGCTTGGACATTGACTTAGAAAATTCCTCTTCAATTCTTCGGATTCTTATAGTAATCTGCTTGGAAGTCGATTTCGAGAAACTTTCCTCAGCCGCCATGGCACCTAAACGTTAAAGAAAAGGGCGATCTCTTGAACCCCTTCTGATGACATTTATTTGAGCTATCAATTTGATACACTTACGAATGGTGAGAATGATCTATCATCCATGCAAAATTCCAATTCACCAAAACTGAACATCTGTTCAAGGTTGTCTTGAAAGGTCTGTACAGCGGTGAATCACTGGCAGAACGTAAAATTATTGACTGCTTGGGCTGAGTCACTCAGCCTGAGTGTGAAAGCACTGCACTATTCAATTCATTGATCTGTCCTTTGTACCGCACAAGGTAATGAAAGAGCCAACCAAAACATTCAGTCACTCACGAACAGGAGACTCACACACTGAACGAAAACATTCGACTGATTATTGTATTGCTTGAGCCCTTTAACAATATGCTGTCGAATTTCGGATGATTTCCTTATGGTTGAATTCGCCATCAACTGACGAGCATTCATATGACTGTCCTCCAAATAAAGGGTGATAGTTATTTGTAAATTGGCTGTAAAATATGCAGGGCTCAGAGGACAACAATTTTAAGATAAGATAACTTGCAAATGCTTTAGATTAAATTATTAATTCGATTGTTTACATTCCTTTTTGGTTGGTAGAAGAAACTTACTCCACCGCGAAATAGACAGTTTACAGTTTCCACGCATTACCAATGCTCGTACCAGTCGTACCACCTCCGATAGCGATGGCTATGCTTCCATCTCGTTTGTCTGCTCAGAGCAACAAATGACGTTCGATAGAATTATTTACATCATCGATTTGCGTTAAGGGGCTGAGCCAATACCAAGTTAATTTCAATTTAAGATGACTATCATTCTGCAGAAAGCATTACGCATTCTAACTGAAGACCCTATCCCTTTTCATAACAATGTTCATCCGGTATTCGAGAGGACAATCATCTGATTTCAAAGCAACCGTCATCCGGTTGCAGCTATCATTCGAAAAGACGATTTCGATATTTGGATTTGAATGATCTGAGGTTTCATTCGAACTGAGGGCGGTGGTTTGGTACAGTACACCACTTGCCTTCACTCACACAGCATGTAATTGACGAGTGCACGGATGGATTTGAGTTCACTCACTCGACAAAAAGTGACACAACAGCGGGGCCCTGTTTACTAAAAATGAACATATATGTGTTCATTTTTAGTAAACAGGGCCCCGCTGTTGTGTCACTTTTTGTCGAGTGAGTGAACTCAAATCCATCCGTGCACTCGTCAATTGAGGCATTTTTACAGAACAAAGATTGGGTACCATCACGGAAGAATTAACGTGCTGACTGAGCTACTGACTGAGTGCTCTGCTGTCAGTTACTTGTTTACTTCTCAATCATTCAGTCTCTCATCACGAGGCAGTGAATAATGAGGCGAATGGCTGTTCATATTAATACGAAAATGACTTATTGAACCTGACTGTTATGCACACTGATCACTGGATGAGATCAAA